ATAATTTGCACTATATGAAAAAAACGAGTGTAAACACCTCCATAAATAATTAAATCCATACACATTTCATATGTTTTTAAGCAAAAAAGCAGTCATAATTTAAGAACAAAGGCTAATTGTTAGCAAGTAACAAGCTTTAATCAACCAGTAACAGTATTATTTTATTTACATATCAGATGAAGGCAATTGTTTCTCCAATTATTATATATTTTCACATTTTCAGAACACAGTAAAACTAAATGAAACTATCACTTCAAGCAACCTCTTAATTGTTCTGTTTTGACAGCAGCTGTGGATGCACTCCTTGCTTCTACCATGACAGGATAATATGGACAGAGATTTCCAAAAGCACAGCACTCCCAGCAGCAGATGCAAGTTACTGATTGTAGAGAGACAAACTACACGTGAAAGCCAGTCATCTTTAAATGATACAGTTTCCCTCAAAACATTTATCCACATGAAAACACAACTACTGCTACAAACCTTAAGGAACAATTCAAACCGGTTTTTTACAAGTATTTTGCACAAATCAAAATGTTAATTTACTAAGAAGGTAATTACAAGGAGCTTGTTTGTATACTCTGTATCTCAGAGTTTCCTGTTCTAAATATTAAAAATATGTAGATTCTTCACTGTTTTAAAATTACTAGGAACCATACTTGTTTTTCAAAAAGTAAAGCTTCTCACTTTTCTAATGCAGTTAAAAACAAAATCTGAAAAGTGCAAACAACTAAACAAACAGCACTGATTATGTAAGCTCTCTCCTGTGCAAACCATTTTTACAGAATTATATTTTCTCAACTCTCACCTGCATTACTCCTGTTAAAATAATCTTGCTTATATGCAAAATACTGTTTTCTTTAAATTGAATGTGATTCTCTATAAAATGTGAAATTCTCAGTAGCCTCCCGAATCACAATGTTTGAAATTCAAGTACATTAGCACAATATTGGTTGACCTTTTTAAACGGTGGCAGAAGTCCTTCTCTAAACAAACATTGGTGTGAAATCCCAATGAAAACCAAACGGGAAACTAGGAAATTTTCAGAAGTTTATGCTTTGATTCAACTTAAACCGATAAAGTCCTTTGTGATGTATCTCTCTTTCCCCATGCTATGACTTTCCCAGTTCGACTGCCACAAGTGCAATTAACTTGATGTCTCATTTTTGGTACCCAACCCTGCACACCATTCATTGGCTGAGGATGCTGGGGTTCTTCCTTACCACCTTTGGCCTAACTCTGGTTACATCCATTTATCCCTGCACCCCTGAGTGCACCCCTCAGGCTGGCAACCCCTCTCAAGGGAGCGAGGTGCTGGAGATTCTCCGCCCACCTCCTACAGAGCCGGTCAATCCCAACGAGCCTCCCCGCACCACTTCTCCGGGTGACCTGCGTTTAGAAGCTTACGGGAAAGAGGAAAAACAAACACGCATGCAGATTAAATATTAAAATAAGGCAAGCCTGTAACCATCCTTGGACAAACACACGCAGCAGCACTGAGCCCTCTCCGCTGTACGCCGAGTACCACATTAACACGGCTGCATTATCCTTTTGTTTACTGGATGGGAAGGACAGCGGTCGTTCCCCCTCCTTATCTGAGCGGCGGCCTCTCCCATTCCCGCGTGTCGCCGGGATGCCGGCCGCGCTCCCGCGCCGGGTTTTCCCGGCAACCGGTGCCCGCCCTCCCCCGCCCCCCTCCTCCCGCCTTAGGGTCAGCAGTTTGGGGAATGCTGTGGAAATAGCTCTTTCCCAACACCGGGCTTGGTTTACAGTTGGGGCTGTAGGTGGCTCAAGAAAAGCTCCTCGTTTTTGTGAAAAATCCGTTTGCAAAGCAAAGGGGCGTGATCGTCTGCTGGCGCCCGGGAACGCCATCCCAAGGCCGGGCAAGGAGAGCGGGGGCTGCAGCATCCACACTGGGCTCGGGCAAGCCACAGGGATCCTAAAAACGACCCCAGCAAAACTAAAAGCAAGACACAAATAAGGCAATGCCCTCAACCCTTCCAGTCATTCAGAATAAGCCTTCATCCTTTCAAACTCTGACATTGCATTCAACAATCCTCTCGTCTTAATTACGTTCAAAGCTCGCTCTGCAAACGGTGGATCTCTCATCTTTTCCATCTTCCTGTACTTCCTATCAAAAGAGAAAATATTTTCTTCTTCAAAATCAACTAGCTACTAAGAAAACACAAGGAAAAAAAAAACCTACAAGTGGCTTTTACAAGCTGTTGTTGTTCACTTGTTATTGACGCCTCTATAGCACCGTGAATAGAGAAGCAGTACTTACCCCCTCCAAGCAACTACTTTTTCATATGTCATTTCAACCACCTAGACCCATAAACATGTATTACAGCTATATTTGCATGGAACTTTAAGCTACCATGTCTTGCATAAATTCAAGAGCCGAGGGAATCCTTATGGTGTCTTATCATTAACTTCTTCTCCTTGACAGATTGGCTATTTTTGTGCCCTCCTCAACCAGTCCCCCAGTTGTGCACAAACCCTCACTCACTGAGGGGAGGTGAGTTGCTATTTTGGGGAGAAGGGAAGGTATTTGTTTCGTTGTTTATTTATTTTTTTCTTTCAACAGCATAACTAGCACCCCAATAAAGGAACAGCTACATACTTAAAACCTAAATTCTCTCTCAGATGAAATTTCAGATTTCTTCAATTTGCTTTTATCTTTGAACACCCAACATTTGCAATCCATATAAAAGCAAGCCAACCAACTGCTGGGACAGAGCAGTCAGCTGGAACATAGTTACACACCCCCACAGGGTGGGCCCTTAAGTGAAATATGTAATACAATGTGTAACAGCTCAAGCATATAGTGACTTCTGGAAAGAATTATTGCAGTTTTTTTCAATTCACATTCCATGCTTACCGTGATTTACTGTTAAACTTTTGCAAGAGATAAGGTACTTCGAAACCACGATATTAAATTTATCTTTCTCATTTTCATATTATAGACCTTCTCAGCTAGAGAGCCAAGGATTGTTTTTGTAATCTGATGTCCTCAAACAATCCTGTTTTTAAGTCAATCATTTCACATTTTTAAGTAGTATTTAGAAACTGCATTAACATGAACTATTTTGGTCACATTTTCCAAACACTTTCCAAAATTTTATGTAAGAAAACTGAAGGACAGACCAAACATAGTAACTGTGTAAACATCAGCTTCTTTTGGGATACCCAGAAGTATACACTCATAATAATGGCACAGTAGAACTATGAAGGAATATCCCAAAATTAAACCTTTTTTCTCATACAAAGAGCTACCAAATTCCTCCAAAACTGCTTATTACAGGATGTGTAAAAGGGGGGATAAGAGTTATTTTTAAGGAAGCAAGGAGGGATAGTGCTGTACACCACAAACACACAACACGGTGATGGCAAACAGTAGGCAGAAACACGCATAGCAAACACTTTCAGACGTAGCTACTCACCTTTCACAGCACTTGCTTCTTTCAGGTTGTGAGACAGAAAGTCTATGCTGGCATAGGCGCTCATCTCTACTCCATTGATGCCCCCATTCAGGAGGTGCCTGGCTTTCAACCTGGATTTGTCACAGTTTGCCAGGGACCCGTCCACCACATCAATGGCGATGTAGTTGAGGCCATTCTGGAAGCCAGCTGAGGTCTCCCGGCACATGGGACTGCTACCCTGCTCCTCCTCCAGGCCTTCGCTTTTCCTGAGGGACACATTCTCCACCGAGGCCGAGTTGTGTCGTTTGGGGTTGTGTGCGAAGGAAGGGGACACTGGGGTCACAGTGGTGGTGGAAGAGAAAGTTTCTGAGCTGTGTCTCCTCCGCCCCTGAGGATCTGCCCGGATGACTTTGGCTCCCCGGTTGGGGTCTGGGGGAGGGCTGGAGAGAATGAAAGCCTCCACCCCAGAAAGGGTGAGCCTCTTCACCCCAGCTGTGGGGCTGGCGACCCGGGCACTTTCTGGCTTCTGAAAAATGGGTTGGGGTGGGGTGGTGGCCATGCCAAAGGTCATCTCAGTGTAATCCCCACTATCTGACGGGCTGGATGAACAAGCCACCCCCACAGCCGCCTTCAGGTAGCGCCCGTTGGGCTGGCTGGTGCTGGAAGAAGAGCTGGGTGAGAGAGCTTCCAGAGAGCCCACTGAGACCGCGCCTGACTGGGAAGGCGACTGTGACCCAAAGTCCATGTTCATGTAGTCAGAGAGCGGGGAGCGCCTCTGCCCTGTGCCTGAGCCCAGGGAGGAGGCTGGGCTGTCAGCAGGCAGCGAGGGGGGAGAATAGACAGCAGCATCCCCAAAGTCAATGTTGATGTATTCGCCAGGGCTCTTGGGCTCAGGCGGCAGAGGGTGCTCATTCATGCTGGGCAGCACCGTCCGCAAGGTCTCCAAAGAGAGGCGGCTGGGCCGGGCTGCCCGCTGGCACCGCTGGCTCAGAAAGCTCTCGGTCCGGCTGTGCCGCAGGGGCGAAGGCACCGTGTGGCTGGATGGGGTGAAGGTGCTGGCAGGCGACTGGCCCACTCCACACCCCACCTCCTCCGGGATCATCCTCCCTGGGGAGTTCATGAAGACATACTGGTCACTGTCCTTTGCCAATCCCTGGCTCTTGTAGGAGCGGGGTAAGGAGCAGTATGAATAGCAGCCGGGCTTTGAGGGCTCACTGGACCCATGCCCTGACGGGGTGAAAAAGAAGTCTGGGGGGGTAAGGGAGGGAACCTGGGGCCCATGCTGGGGGTCCCGAGGGGACATATTGATATAGTCACCGTTACTCAGCCTTCCATCTGAGCTCTCCACAGATAGCTTGGAGCCACACCACATCCGCATGTACCCACTATCATCAGGGGAACTCTCTCCAGGTGAGCTGGTCTTGTAGCTGCTCCCGTTCCCCGGGGACCCACTCCCCATCCCTGCCCGGGGCTGCAGGATCTGCTTGGGGGCAGACACGCTGGTGGGGCTCATGGGCATGTAATCATCACTGCCCCGGCTTCCCTGCCCTAAGGCTGCGGCCACACCGGGGGTCATGGGCATGTAGCCGTCATCATCTCTCCCCCCCCCACCCGCTGGCGGCGGCCCCAGATTTGTGCTGCTGCTGCCGGAGCTGCGGTGGGAGCCGATCTCGATGTCCCCATAGTCCTCGGGGTAGGGGGTGTAGGTCACTTTGGGGGAAGCCCCGGCTTGGCAGGAGGGGAAGAGGCGGCCGGCGCTGCCGGCGAAGGTGGCGCGCATCAGCGTGTACTCGTCGAGGGAGGCGGAGGAGACCTGCGGCGGGGCGGGTCGCTGCCGGCACGGTGTGGTCAGGGAATAGGTCCGCTTTCGATGGCACCTGTCGCCGGCGGCGTCGGGGCAGGGCCGGTAGCAGAGGCGGCCGCTCGGGGGCCGCTCCATCGCCATGTAGCCGTAGAGGTCGGTGCCGCCCCCCGGGTCCCGCACAGGGGGTGTCTCGGCCACCGACTCGGGGGTGTTGCTGCGGTTGCTGGCGGTGGAGGAGGAGGAGAAGGGCCGCAGGTCGCCGCCTGGGCTGGAGCCGTACTCGTCGAAGGACATGAAGCCGGCGTCGCTGGGGGAGCCGGAGACAGAGGCGCTGCCGCTGGACGGGCGTTGAGGGTGATGCGGGTGGGCAGTCTCGGAGCCGAGGCCGCTGCTGGAGGACAGGCTGATGGGGCTGGTGGCCGAGGGGGGCGAGTGGGAGGCGGGCACAGACATGGAGCGGCTGCTCTGCAGCCCGCCGCCGGCCAGCACCGGCAGCAGCTTCCCCGCCTGCCGGCCTCCGCCGCTGCTGAGCGTGTGCGAGCGGCTCAGGGGAGTCCGCACGGGGCCCGGGCTCATAGGGCTGCTGGCTGCCGAACCCACCCGGCAGCCGTCACCCTCGCTGGCCGTCCTCACTCGGCACGGCGTGCACTTGGTGCCAGCGCCGGCGGCGAGGCTGTCGGTGCGAGAGCGGCGGAGGAGGCCGGTCTGGCTGGGAGGCAAGTTGACCAGGTGGTGGTGCCGGCGACCGGGGACGGTGATGGGGTGGGTGGCGGAGGCGCTGCTGCCGCCGAGCCCACCGGCCCCCCCGGAGGAAGACGAGGAGGACGACTGGCTCTTACTTCGAGGCCGGAACTCGGACAGCTCCTTCAGCGCCTTCATGGCCTCGAGGATGGTCTCGTGGATGTTCTGGGCCACCACCGAGTCGTCCGCCTGCATCCAGAGCTCGCCGGGGCCGGTGGCGGCTGAGCGCCCCACCTCGATGAAGAAAAAGCTGTCGGAGTGGCCGCAGCGGCGGATGTTCATCAGCTGCAGCGTGACCGAGGGCAGCTCGCAGTTGAGACGCACGAACCCAATGGTGCGGGCCGAGAGGCAGAGCCGGTGGACGCCAG